ACTTTCTTATGACATTGAGAGCATAGTAGCATCTTTAGGATCAGATGATAATTTCTTTTACTTAAATGGATGTTGTAGTTTTCTGAACCCAGTAGCAAAGATAACAGAACCAGGGAAGCTAATGGAAATCTAAATTTGATGAAGACTTCTTTAAAACATAAATGGTCACTTTTCCAGCCTCTTTCCCCTTCCTTTGTTTTTTATTGTGAGGCTGAGGCCTGGTGCATGCAGGGACAAAACTATGTTTCAGTCCTTATGTGATTTCACTGGGCTTCTAGAAGATTGGGGTGGTGAGATCTGAGCATAGAAGAACGTGAGCTTCATTTTAGAGCACTGGACTGGACTTATATTCTTTATTATTGTGTTCCCAGAGATTTTATATGTACTGCTATGTATTAATATTCATCTCTTACAGTCCAACAAATGATGTATTCTTTTAAGACCATTTTTAGGAAGTTTATCATCTTGTGGATCTGTTTATATATATGGGATTAGAATAAAAGGACTATGATATAAATAAAAATGTGTATTTTTAAATTACAGTGGAGTATATCTGAATAAAGATTTCTTGACCAAAAAAAAAAAAAAAATTTGCTTTCATTGATTGTAGGAGTGTAAAATGGTTTAGACAACTTGGGAAAGAGTTAGATGTTGTGGAATATTAACTGAAGATGTGCTTCTTTCGTTTCTGCTGTGGGGCATTTGTTTAATGATGCAAAGATGTGTTGCATTCTTTTGTGTTGCATTTGTTTAGGTCTCTGAAGCTGTGTTATTTTGCCTGTATAAAACACCTGGTTGCTCTAATAAAGATCTCAAAGATAGGCAGGGTAAAGGATAGGCGGCTTCCAGGCAATCAGAATGAATAGAAGGTGAAAAGGACCGAGGAATGGAAAAGAAATAGGAGAATGAGGAGGACGGAGGATGCCAGCAACCAGAACCCAGCTATACAGCAAGCCACAGAGTAAGAAGTAAAGAAAATTATATAAAAATATATAGAAAAAGATAAAGGCCCAGAGGCACAATGAAATGGGGGTAAATTAAGCTATGAAAAACTTGCTAGAAATAAGCCAAGCGAAGGCTAGACACTCATAAGAAAGAATAAGTTTCTGTGTGATTATTTGAGAGCTGTGTGGCTCTCAAACAAACAAACAAACAGGAACTACCGTTACCATTTCTCCTTTGCATAACTGAATTGAATTGGATGTATCCATCTGTGGGTTATAAGTCATACGCATGATTATGCACTGAGATGTCAAAAAGGAGATTTGAATGTACTGGAACTACAGTGACTGTAGGTTGTGAGATGCCCAGTGTGGCTGCTGGCAAATGACCTCAGGTCCTCTTAATTGATGAGCTATTTCTTGTACCACACACTTGATAGTTCCCTACACAAGTCAAGTGCACTCTTCCCAAAGTGACTGCACTCTTTAAAGTCTATACAAAAGAACTGAAAGAGAATACACCAAAGTATCTGTGTGATCCTTTTTTACTGTAACTATATTCCTAATAGCCCAAACGTGGAAGCAACCAAAATGATCCTTGGGGAAAGGAACTGTGGTACCATGCAATAGAACATTAGTCAGTGATGAGAAGGAAATGGAAATTGAGCTGAGAGGATGTCCACTGTTTAGAGCAACCTGAATTAACTCCCCAACACTCACATTAAAAGCCTGGTGCGGCTGTGTTGTTGGGGGTGTAGACATTAGGATTTCTGGGGCTTTCTGGCCACCAACGTTGCTCCAGATTCAGTGAGAAGCATTATAGCAAGAGAATAACAGTTGATACCCTCCTCGGGCCTCTGGGTGTACACATACCACTCATAGACCATAACCCAGCAATAACAAAATCCAGTGGGCTAAACCATGCATGAATTTAAATGCACACTGGCAAATGAAATCAGACGAAAGGCTACATGGTATATAATTTAGCTCTGTGGCATTCTGAAAACGTTAAAGTTTGAAGACAGTTAAAAGAACAGTACTCCCAGAGTGCGTGTCAGTTCTGGAAGACAATGCAACGATGGGGACATGATACTGTCTACTTTCCAACCCATTCCCCATAGGAATAGTGAAGACAGATGCGAACCCCCACCTCAAAACATATTAATATTGGTCTTGGTTCAGCTATTACCACCAAGTGCATTTTGTGGACTAAATTGTATCCCCTATGAGTAGGGCATAAAGGGCACCCTTGGATGAGACTTAGCACTCATACAAAGGAGTTTGAACCTACAATCTTTCTTCCCTTCTTTCCTTTCCACACAAGGGTAGGTGCAAACGCTGGACTAGAGACTGGGAAGGGAGTCCTCATAGGAACCAAACCAACCCACTTTTAACCGTGGAAATAAACCAACTTATGTTGATGACCCTAAAGCACAGTATCTCTTTATAGCCACACCCTTAGCATGGTTAAGCTCAGTATGACAGCAGTGTCCTGAACGACATGGCTTTTAAGAAACTGTTGTTAGTAACAGCTCAGACTCAAGTCACAGAGCAGGGAAGCAATCAAGTTCTGGTAACAATCTCTCTAGGAGATTAAACACTGAACTTGTCATGACAGAAACATCAAGGGAAAGTGTCTAATAAAACCATAGATCCATTTGTGGGCTCTACCTTGCTGCCTTCGTGACCCCCTCCCCCAGCCTCACTTCACTCCAGGTTAGGGTTCAACATGTGAGTCGACCACGGAGACAAAAATATTCAGTGTATTATTCAGCCCAAGCAAAAGTATCCCCCTCAAGCAAACTGTTAGACAGGAGCAGAACTGTTTGGGACCATGAAGAGTTATCTAAGAACTCTGCATTGCTACTTACTCTAAGCTAATGCCTCCTGCTGTGAACTAAAGGCACCCCAGCACTAGGCAGGAAGGGGGTCACCAAGGAATCAAGGGCCTCTAAACAGAGCACAGCCAACACACACATGAACTCACAGAGTTTGTGGCAGCATGCCCAGGTCCGGCATGGGTAGCAACTGATGGGGTCCTAGAAAGAGGAGATGTGGACACATGCCTCCCACCCTTAACCGCTTGCAAATGGAAAATGAGTTTTCTCAAAGGAAGACTCACTGAGGAAAGAAACCAGTCCTAAGTGCTGGCCCATGCCCCAGCATAGATGGCCAACGTAAACTGAATTCAATAGCATCTTTGGAGGGTCCTTGTTTCATAATGCTGGGCATATCTCTCTCTCTCTCTCTTCCTCTCTCAATTTTTCTCTCTCTCCCCACCCCCTCCCCTCTCTCAACCTTACAAATCCTTTGCATATATGATTTGTGTTTTCTGATTTTTGTATTTTTATGGGATTCCTGTATGTGCAAACAAGTGTGTCTCTGTAGGTTTCTGGTGCAGTTTTCCTTTTCATCTGTTTTTTTTTTTTTTTGTTTTTGTGCCATTCTGACTTGACTTTTGTTTCACCTTGTTTTGTTACTATCTTAGATGCTTGCTTGTTTTCTAAGGAGAAACGATATGAATCCGGTTGGGAGCAGAGAAGGGGAAGACTGGGAGGGGAACCATTTTCAGAACATATGTTCAAAAAAAAATCTATTTTCAATAAAAAACAAAGTCTACTCTTTAACAAAAGGGAATCTGGTAAAAACAGATTCTTAATAAACTTGAATTCTGTCAGTGTTGTTCATTAAAGAAATAAGTACGAAATATTAAAGACACAATGTGTCGATAAAATACCACATAGGGTATGTTCAACTAAATCACCCTGCTCATCTACTTAGTCTTTTGGGTTTCTCAGAGTTAGGAGTAAAGTGGCCAAAATTAGTCTCCAATGTCCTCGCCACTTGCTTATGGCATGAATCAGAATGAAGAATCAAAGATGGCACACACTTATCCTCAAGTACCGTGGAGAAAACAGCATCATCACATTACTAAACACGGAGGCCCTCTTTTGTGATCTCAAGAAAGGACCACTGATGATAATGACTACAGCCTGGCAATAGCATTCTACTATTTGGTGATTTAAATATTACTGAAAGATTCCTTAATTGTGTGTGTTTGAGAGGTGTCAAAATTTACTAACATTTCCATTTAAGTAGCACAGAGGAAAACTAAACACATTTCAGCATGGTTCTGTGAACTTAGTGAAAAGAACACATCTAAACAATTTTGATTCCTAAATTGTTGCTTTTAAGAGTTTATTCCCTATACAGAAAGTAATTTTAATTATTGCTCATACATACTGATTAAGCAGTACTAAAAAGTAAAGAAGCCTTGGGCTTAGTTTTAAAGCTGTTACTAATATAAAACATATTCAACTCAGATACACAAGAATTTCTCTAGCGGTAGGAAACCTAGTAAAGAAATGAAAACGGATTTAAACTTGGAACCCCACAGATGCATTGTAAAAGGCAGGGGACAATGACATGTTCACAGCCTGGGTGTGAGCAAAGCTGAGTTCTCAGCATAAATACCATTTAGTTCTATTAGATAGCTACGTAAGTCCTCTGTTTATATTAGTCGACACTGGGATGGAATGTAGAAATGGAAGACTTAACCTTTGTGTGAGGGAGTTAGCAACCACACAAGGATTTAAGCATCGTGGATGGGAGAGATGACTCAGTGGACAAAGGTGCTTGCTGCCAGGCCTGACGACCTCAGTTAGATCCCCAGGAGCCTCGCGGTGGAAGGAGAGACTGACTATTCCTGCTAGTGATTGAGCTCTGCCCTCTTCATACGTGCACACACATACATGCCCATAGGGGAGGAGGGAGACAGAGGGATACAAACACACAGATTCACAGAGACAGACATACAGGGAGAGACAGACAGACACAGATAAATACAATAAAAGTGTTTAAAACATTGGCTGTTTACACTATGAAATGTCTGACATTCCCAATAGAAACAGTAAATTTCTTTAAGTGGACAGAAAGTCTGTAAAATCGCAGGTTGTAAACTTGGTTATTATTTTGTCTTGATAGGAGACCACAAAAAACCCTTATGGCCGTGCTCATTAAGATAACCCAGGTCTACAAAAGACAAGCAGGGAGGACATCCTACCTTAACAGCGCGTTTCTTCCATCACTTCGGGTACACCACACCTGCCTGGTTTGAAAACCTATCTCTACACCTCCAGGCTGGGAGTGGTGGTGTGCTTTGTAACTCTGATGCGTTAGGGTGACTTGCTCGTTTGAATTGGAGCTAAAATCCTGGACATTTCTTCCGCTGAGGTCGACTTCCTTAAGGTGAGGGAGTCTACATTTGCTCCACGGTCCCACCTTAAGGCTGAAGGAATATTCCTCTTTCCCAAGAGGACAGGAAATGGGAGCCTCGCAGGCTCTGGATTCAGTGAGATTCGGACACTGCAGACCTCCATACAGAGGGGGAGCGATGACCACGCGTGTTCTGTGCTGCAACTTCTTCCCACAGCCTTCGCGGCAGGTGGACCACGGGGAGAACTCTGATACCACACAGTCCCTGGGGCAAGGGATGAGGCAGGCTTGCTCTGTCGGGGGCTGCGGGGCAAAGTGTTCACAGATCTCATTGGCCACCATGGTTCGGTTGAGCTTCTGCAGACAGTGCACTGCCCGGTGCTGCAGACCGTGCTGAGCAGTCACACACTCTGCAGTTCGAGGCCTGGGCTCGCCTTGGGCTCCAGGAGCCAGCAGGCAGCGGTGCCAGTCGGAAACCTCCCACTGAAACAGGTCACTGTGCCAGTCACACACGCGGAAACAGCTCCTTTCCTTTGGAGGTCGGCTACTCTCATCACAGTTTGACATGGGGCTGGTCCACCCTTCTACGTGAAAGCACCACACAGCTCGACTCTGGGCTCCGCCTGGTCCGCAGTCGCCTGCACACCTTCCCCAGGGACCTGAGATAGGAAAACAAGGCTCTCCATCATTCTTCAACTCTGGGGGAAAGAGAAGTATGTCTACATAGCTCACAACACATCCACTGTAAAAACCACAAACTTGGTGTGAAACGGAGGTCATATTAAGTGTTGAAGTTGGTGGCCCCTGTCTCAGTTTAACATGTGGAAATCACCTTCTGTCTCTCATCAGAAATACAAACTAGGAAAAATTACTTGGTTATTGTGATGTTCATTTCCATAGCCATGTAAGGTGGGAGATACCGAAAGTGGGGTGTCCTGGGGAACGATGGTACAGTGCCAGACCAAGGAATCATTTAACAAACGATCCAATCATTAGGACTACTATGTTCCAAAACCTTTATATATCTCAATGCTAATTCCTCCTACTAACTTAGTATTAATATAGTCTAGCTAGGTAATATTTCATTGAAAAAAATCACAGGGGCTGGAGGGTAATTGAGCTGTCAAAAGTACTGGCTGCTCTTCCAGAGGACCCAGGTTCAATTCCCAACTCCCACCAAACAGATCCCAAGCATCTGTAATTCGTGTTCCAGGAAATTCAAAGCCTTCTTCTGGCCTCAGACACATGGCAAGCACAAGATCATATTTTCACAAGCAGACAAAACACCCCTCTTCATAAAAAATAATAAGAACAAAAAATATTGTTTAAAAGGAAAAGCCCTAAAGCCAAGATTTTAATATTGCAGGACTTTTCACGTTTCCACTTCCTCAGCATACATGTTACACAGCTTGAAAGAGAAAAACATTAAAAAAAAAAAAAGAACTTGAAATACCCTAATATATTTTTATTTTCTAATTTAGTTTGGTTTTTCCTGTGGCAAACTGTAGGAAGAAAAACAAATCAACTACAAGAACAATAGGGTGGCTGTGAATGGCGTCTGCTTGGACTTGGTCCCTGGAAATTAGATGTGTTTTTGTTTGTTTGTTTAACAGTGCATCTTTTTAAAATTAAAGCTTATATATATTTAAAAAAAAAACCACACATACACACAATGAATTTTAACCTGTATGTCTCAGTGACCTTCTATACAGTTAGAATAGCCCATTCTGGAACTGTGAAACTTCATGTAAGGTCTTATACATTTACTGTTTAGTATACTTATTTGTAGTTGGAAGTTTTCTGTCCCTCCCATCAGCTCCCATAGCTGCTTATAAAATAGCACTCTGAAGTTTAATGTCAGTTACAATTGTTAGGCCAATGGCTCAGATATATTACTGGCCAGCTCTCTCTTATAGATTAACTTATTTATATTAATCTGTGTATTGCCATGAGGCTATGACTTACCAGTAATGCTCCAACGTGTTACTCCTTTGGCTGCTACATGGAATCTCCCTGACTCTGCCTTCCTTTTGTTCTGCATTTTTGTTTGGATTTCCTACATAGCTATAGTCTGTCTGGCCATTGGCCAAAACAGCTGTAAGCATCAATCAATAAAAGCAAAGCATATTCACAACATACAGGAAGACATCCCATATCACTTATACCCTACACACACACACACACACACACACACACACACACACACACACACCAAAGTTTGAAACAGAATTACCTTTGCAATCTCCTTCATGACTCAAGTGTACATTATCTGAATTAAGTCCTTCCTTATTTTTAGTATTAAAATGAAATATCATTCAGTTTTAAAGACACTTGGTTTTTTCGTATGGCCTAATTAACCTGTGGGGATCAAGCAACTCTGCCTCTCAAGTAGTTGGAAATGCGGCACAAAGCACAATGTCTAACTGGTTTTGATTTCTGATAGGTACAAACTCCAGGCCAACCTTTCAACATTAGCTTGTAACAGCAGATCCTTTAATTAATGAATTTCTGCTCCATTGAGATAATTCATTATTTTAATCTTGTCTGCTGTCCTTTCCTCTAGTGTTAGTCAGCAAGCCTCTACCAGAGAGGTGGAAAATTATATTAAAGCCAGGGGATATCCTCAGAGTAGCCGTTTCCTTCCTTCCTTTCTTCCTTCCTTCCTTCCTTTCTTTTTCTTCCTTTCTTCCTTCCTTCCTCTCTTTTTTCCTTCCCTCCTCCTTTCCTCCCTCCCTCCCTCTCTCTTTCTCTCTTTCCCACTTTCTTCCTTTGAGACAAGGTCTTTCCTCCATAGCCTAGAGCTCACCAAATATCCTATCCTGTGTGGCTTACAGGGGTTTGCATATCTCTGCTTCTCCAGAAATATGACAATAAGCATTGCTACTCTACCGAGCCTTTTTGCATGGTTGTGGGGATTGAATTTAGGTCTTTATGCATGCAAGACACTCACCCACTGAACCATCTCTTATCTTTGATCACACATGTTTCACAGGGACAGAAAATAATCATATGGTATATCAATGGTAAAAAGTAATATCTCCCCTTTCCCTTTCCTTACATATGTAACCTGAACCTGAGGATATTTAGTAAAGTTAACTATATAACTTGTGTCTACTACCAAGACTCTGGAAGTCACTGAGACCCTCTGTATCCCAGGAAGCTGAGTAATCAGCATCAGCTGGGAAAGAAGACAATCTCACAGGTCAAGCCAAATGCAGCTTAATCACCTCATGGAGTGTACTTTACATGTCAAACAACTACATGTTTAGGAACAGTCACAGGCATTAAGGAAGTGACACCAAGGGTGGCCCCAGAGAAGTAGGGTATCTGTCTGCACTGGGGTTGCCTACTATGGCAGGGTTTGGCATTTTAGCAGGGAAAAAGTATCTCATTCTAATATTCTTGGCAGTTCAGTTCCTTATCATATCCATACCCTGGCCTCATAGGACTAGCATCCATGATAACACTGCATTGTCAAGCGATGGTGGACATCATTTATAAAAGAGACTGACACAATGGGGGGGGCTCATTTTGTTGACAGGAAAGGGTGAATCGAATTACAGTAAGTTAGCTTTTACTGACTGTGTACCTTTGCATTTGCCTGCTCACTCCCAGCTTTTTATTCCAACAGAGACTATGATAAAGTGATTACACTTGCACTGTGATGCTCCCAGCACTAGCTGACTTGATGAACTGTCTTCAGTTCTGTGCTCTTAAGCAACATACAGGGCTATAGAATGCAAATGGCAAATGCAAAGCTACACAATGTGAACGGAAAATGTAATGCTATACAGTGCAAATGATGCTGTGGGTTTTTTTTTTTTTTTTTTCATTTTAAGTATCCTATCCACTGTCCACTGTGTTGGGTAATCGGTTTCTCTAAAAAAAAAAAAGATTCACTCAATAAAGGGACACCATCAAATGATGATGGTAAACTTTAAGTATAAAATCAATCACAGGTGATATTAAAATAATTGAATATAATAAAATGAAACATTTTGTAAAGTACCTGGTGTTTTAAAATAATGACTGTCAAGGTATCTGTATTTGCTTAGGTATTACATACTTACAATTCTCCACTCAAGATTTTTGGTATGAATTAAAGAGAGAAAAGAAAATTCAATTTATTGCTGCTCAATCTTGAGGAAGCTAATATTAAATTTCATTCAGTTAAGACATGAAATATCTACTATCAAATAGATATTGTACTTTTAAAAAGCATTCATCTAAGACTTATCATCATTGCAATATTGTTTTCTCATTAAAAGTCCTTCAGCTAATTTCAAATGTAAGGTAGCTCATATTTTGTTAGTTGAAACTATCAGTATTTTAAACCTTATACAAGGCCACTTTTACTTGAGCTTTTACAGTCTTCATCTATGCAAAACGTTACCAATAGCACCATTTTCCCAGATCAATGGAAGACAAAATGTAACTACTAAAAAAAAAAAAGCTTAAATTGCTACAATCACAGACCTAATTCATATCACAGTGAAGGCTCTGGGTCCGTTCATCAATATTCCTGTGGATAGGACTAGCCTAGGGGCATGAAGAAGAGTAGAGTGTGTGTGTGTGTGTGTGTGTGTGTGTGTGTGTGTGTGTGTGTGTGTGTGCAGAATCTGCCCTCCATGCTATGGAGTGCATGTGTTTGTAAACACTGGGCAGTTTGTGTAGAAAGGCTCAAGCAAATGTTAAAAACAAGTAAGTAAGGAGGCAGTGCAAAGTGAATCCTGTGTGCTTAGGACAAATGAAAAACAAATTAGAAATAAAACCAGAGAGAGGAGGGCTCTGGGCAAGTGGCCCGTGGTGATTTGCATTTCTCGAGCATGAAGGGAAACAAAAAGTGCTCCAAGATTTATTCAGTTTTAGTTGGCAATGAACTTTTAGTACACATGAACGAAAATCACAGACCTGGGGGGGTTTCGTCATGTGGGAGAAAAACGCACAGCACATGCATTTGTATGACGTGTGCCTGAAGTTTGACATGTGTTAGAAGCCTTGTCCAAGTTCATACACAAAAGACAAGCTTAAGTAATGAGAAGATAAAAGTTAACATTTGCAAACATCAGAATTATATTTCAATTATATATCTAAATAAATAATATGAAGAAACACGTTTTACGTTTTTAATGTCAGTTCAGTAACTGCATATGTTTTAAATGGAAAACAGGCAAAAAGCCACACAGAGTTTGGTTACTAAGATAGTATGTCTCTAAATAATTGCTTTGCCATACATCACTCTAGAGAAAACTATTTCACTGATACAAGCTTGGGGGTGCTGGTTTGTGTGTGTGTACCTGGGCCAGCTTCAATAAGTGAAGGTATGCCTGTCATGTGCTGTCTTTTCTATGAGGTAGGAAACCGAACTACTGAATTAATTGCTAGGCATTAAAATCTATCTACCCATCCATCCGCCCATCCATCTATCTGTCCGTCCATCCGTCCGTCTGTCCATCCGTCCGTCCATCCATCCATCCATCTATTTTCTTTCTTTCTATCTATCTATCTATCTATCTATCTATCTATCTATCTATCTATGTACCCCTACCTACCCCTACCTACTATCTATCATCTATTTACCTATCTATATCAATTGATCTATCTATCTATCTATCTATCTATCTATCTATCTATCTATCTATCTATCTTTATTCTTTGA